TTACCACATTCTGACTAGTTAATCATTCATACAATAAACGTATGTACAAAAGTTCAAAGTTAATCATATGAATAAATGTAGAAAGTAACACATGAAACTAGAGTGGCGTATTAATTTTTCATATCTTATACAGTAAAAACATGTTAAGACTCACACGTTGTCAAGTCCTCATAACATAATGAATAGATAAAAACTTTATACCTAAGAGATTAAATTACTACGCTAAAATGGTTGTCTATAATTCAGTTAAAAAATTCTTATTTTAACCGTATTTGACATAGTCCTTTCAATAATGACATCTAGATGTGATTCTGGACATCAACAGTACAACTATAAGATTGAAATTGTAAGATACGCCGAGACCAGGGTGATCACGAATGCCCTGGCCGCAGGTGGAGGCTTGCCACTGCACTACGGCGTGTTGAAGCCTGCGACGGTCTCTAATCAAGCTTGCTCGGACGGGCAGTTTTTGTCAATGGGGAGGTTTTCAAATCATTCATCTAAAAAGCAATGTAGACCCCTAGATGCTCTCGTACGGCTGAGAGTGGGGAGGGCCCGCCCTTCCTCTCGATATGCTCTCGCCAGAGAAGTCCTACTCACTGCCTTCTCATGGCGGGTATGTTGTTTACGGAATTGAGAGGACGAAAAGCGAATGTCCGGCGCTTTAACCGGGCCGGTGAGTCCACCCAGGGGAGTTGGGGAACCCTTATTCCAAACCAATGGTGCACATAGGCTTCAGTATCCTGAAGGAACAAATGGCGTATGAACCAATTTTTGGTCACCGGCTATCATGAAACTGCAACTCCTCACGATGCCCCACTATTTTGTGGGTCAGACATTTAGGTCAAAGGCTCGGAGTGTGGCCTCCTAAGAAAACCATCTGCACCCGGGCAGTATCAAAGCCCTCACACAATTAAAATGAAATAGAAATGATTATTGGATATACAGCTCTCACTCCTATTACGATTTAAACAACCCATACCCATTTGACAACATCCACATTTATTTTTATTTTTTTGTACTACGTCACTTATCTACGCTCTTCAATTCTCACTTTGCACGTCCTTACTTTTCAAATTATACAGCAGCTCGCTTATGGTGGAAACGCGGTTCTATCTAAACGTTCTCGTGTCACTGCTTAGTTGAAAATTGTATGCTACCACCGAATACGAATACTGAAGCAGTTTATAGCAACTCACATTCAATTGAGTTTGCTCTCACCTAATTCAGTTAAGCCCTTTTATTAACTTATTAAACGGACAAAGTCACCTGCACTATAATAACTTATTGTATCCTTATTGCTGTTGCGAATGTATGTACCTTTATTATTGTTATCCTTGTATGAATATGTATGCTCGGCAAGCCTTACTGCCTACGCATTTATTCACGCTACTAGCTTTACTATTAACCGCTTAATTGACTCGATGATTCATTCATTTCACTATGTATATATATGTCCATGTTATTCATATTCATTACTCGCTCGCTCGTTCATTCACTCGCTCTTGCCCTTGCTCTCTCTCGCTCGCTCGCTTGCCTGTTTGCCTTTCGGCACAACTATTTCATGCTTGCTTAACGCATCTGTAATATTGGATATCTGTGTGTGGTCCCTTAATAAACGTAATTAACGCTTCGTATTCGCCTTCTGATTAATATACCGTTGGCGCATTATTTGGTGACGGTTACCGAGACGAACTGTATACGGAGTTTAAGGAATATATCGAACACCGATCACCACAAGTTTTTCTGAAACCACGTACACCATTCAAACTGGCTGCCTTCAACGTTCGCACACTTATGCAGGTCGGACAACAGATAGGGCTGGCTATGTCTTTGAAAAGTCTTAATATCGACGTTTGTTGTCTATCCGAGACCCGTATTCAAGACTCTGGTGAAGTACTACAAGTTCGCTCTCCATCTGTCACTTCAAAAAGCTTGTTTTATGTGCGTTCACCCGGAGACCCTGTGGCATCTTCGTCTGGTCTTGCTGGCATTGGTGTCGCACTAAGCGCAAGAGCTGAGGCAGCACTAATCGATTGGATCCCCATTAACAGTCGGTTATGTGCTGTTAGATTAGAAAGTTCCATCAAAGTGAGAAACGATATCTTTTCGTCATCTCCACCTATGCCCCGACAGTTTGTAGCCCGGATGCAATCAAGGATGAATTTTACCACCAGTTATCTGTTCTTCTCCAGAAAGTGCGTTCGACGGATATAGTACTAGCCGGAGACTTGAATGCTCAGGTCGGGCGTCTAGGCACAGAAGAGAGTCGTTTAGGTGGCCGATGGGGACTCGTTGGTCACAGGACGGATAACGGGGAACGTCTACTGCAACTATGCACAGACCACAACCTGTTTCTGGCTAGCACTAACTTTCGGCACAGTCATCGCCAATCTCACCTTACTTTTCAGTAGCCAACGAAGTGACCGCCACCAAAGAATTTGTCAGCAAGTTGTTTGCAACTTCTGTTGCTAGTAATTATCTAACCGAGCTAGCTTCTAGGCTAGCTACCATTCCACCAAAAAGTATAGATGAGCATTGGTTGCAATTGCATGACGCCATCAAAATGGCGGGTCAAGTCAGTTGTGGGTTCGCAAAACGTCCCGCTTTCAAGCACTGGGTTTCTTCTGGTTCCTTACAACTGATTGAAGCCCGTCGGTCTACTCCGGGTGACCGTGAGTTTGACCACAGACGAAGGATGTTAAGTAACGAAATCGGGCAAAGCTTGTGTAAGGACCGAGAAGCCTGGTGGTCGGAGCGTGCTAATGAGTTGGAAACAGCAGCTGCATCTGGTAATTACCGGAAGCTCTTCCAACTCATCCGAGCCACTGGCAGCAAGAAGTTTGGTGTGAGAGAAACAATCTGCGAGGATGACGGAACGCCAATCACTAACATCCATCGACGTCTTGGATGATGGGCAGAATTCTTCGAAGGGCAGTCCAACTTGTCTGCTGCTCCGGCAACATCAATCAGACTGTCCTGCCCTCCATGGCCGGTGACGACTGATCCACCAAATGAGGCAGAGGTCCGCAAGGAACTCCAACTCTTGAAACGTTACAAATCACCAGGCCCAGACGACTTACCTCCGGCTCTTTTTAAAGATGGTAGCGACTTTCTGGTTAAGGAACTGACGACGTTGTTTACAAAGGTCTGGGAACTAGAGAGTGTCCCAACGTCGTGGAATGAGTCGATATTTGTCCCTATCTTTAAAAAGGGTTCACGTCGTTCCTGCATCCAAACTATTGAATTCTGTTTTAGTGTCGGTTATTATGTTAAGCCCATATACCTTATTCTAGCTATCGGACAGCTCAATCTATTCATTCTACTTGAGTCATATTTTGACATCGTTAATTATTCGCTCATCAAACTTGACTGTTTTTATATGAGCGCGTGGGCGTGTGAACACTTCTTATCCCATTACTCATCACATGTCTGTAAGTTATTTTTGTGACTATAAATATTGATTAATGCTTGGTTGAAGGGGTGTTGGCTACACGCCATCTCCACTGCACGTCGTTTCGCTTTTTTTATTCCATTTGCTTCATATACAAAATATATGTATTCAAAAGTCTGTTCTCGTTATTTGACTTATTTAATTCCGTTACTGAATGAAGCGATTTAAGTCGATGGTTATATACGAAAATAGGCGATAAGAAACATTCATACGATCTAATTGGAGTCAGATCTACGCGCCACTAAAGTGCCGAGCCATTCGACGGACATCGTCCGATCTAAATGACGAAATAAAGGGGCCCCACACATTCATACTTCGTAGGTTGTTCAAAACCCGAGAAAGATTGACTCGCGAGGAGCAGGCTGGGTTTCGTTCTGGTCGAGGATGTATTGATCATATCTTCACCCTCCGCCAAGTGTTAGAACATCACCATACTTATCAAAGGCCAACAATCGTAGTGTTTCTTGACATCAGGGCTGCCTTCGATTCGTTGGACAGAACTGTTTTCTGGGATTGTCTGTTGAAGAAGGGTGTGCCTGAGAAGTTTATTAACATCCTAAAAGCCCTATACACAAACACCTCAAGCAGAGTGAGGGCATACAACCACCTTTCTCCATTATTCCATTCAAGCAGTGGGGTTAGACAGGGTTGCCCAATCTCACCCTTCCTCTTCAACTTTGCCATCAATGACATCCTGGAGACAGCTCTGGTGGATGTAAGTAACGGCGACGTGGACCTGTTACATGGAGAAAGACTTCTCGACCTTGAGTATGCGGATGATATTATCTTACTGTGCGAGAATGCCCAAGCCATGCAATCCGCACTTAATCAGTTGGCAATCAATGTCCGTAAGTATGGTATGTGCTTTGCACCTTCGAAGTGCAAAGTTCTTCTACAAGACTGGCAGGATTCTAATCCTGTACTCACCCTGGATGGTGAGCAGATAGAAGTAGTCGAAAGGATTCTTTCTGGTTGTACCTTTCCGTTTCCCACATTATTATTACACTACCATACACTAATCTGTGGTCGTTATCGTTCTCTTTTTCCTTCTCTCTTATACGCACCTTACATTCTTTTTCTCTTCCCATTCTCAATGTTATTGTGTGGCGCATATATATCTGGTGCCCTATTGTACTAACATTTATGCGTTCAAATAAATAAATAAATACGCCAAAAATGAATAATGACAGTGTAATATTGTGACCTGTTGATGTTGACAAAATAATAATTCTTATCTTAGTTATTCTCAATATTATCATAACTTCTTACACTTGACAATCACATGTAATTCATACCTTAGTTTATATATATATACTCTGCTATGTTTATTTATGTTAATGACATTTCTTGAGGAATGAAAACTTTCCTGAAATGTATCACATCTATTCTTACTCAGATGTAAGTTGTTATCGTTAAAAACTTTCATTGAATGTATTCACTATCTGACATACCTACTTAAGTCGTATTACATCTACTTTCATATTAAAAGTATCTCTCGTTGTATTCTTACCTTAAACTCAAACTCATACAAATCATAAAACAAAATAAGTTAGAAATAGATAAAAATTAGAAGAAAAATGTTAAAAGTTTTGATATAAACAATAAAATTTGACATTGAACAAATGAACACATTGATGCGTAATGCATAAAGTGGATGAAATAATAAAAAGAGAAAAAAGAAACAACTCAAAGATATTTATCTCACTTTTCACGCGACTGAACTTAAAAATGTGACTCCTAGGCTAAAAAAAGAAAATCTTCAGTAAAAATTACATACACAAGAAGAAGAAGAGTAAAGAAAAACAGATTTTACATATACATACTACAGTTTTTATACATTTGAGAACAAGAAAACACAATTGGGAAGATTATGTATACAAAGTATGATAAAAGGTTGAATTGAATGAGGACACAATAAAAAATTATATCATAAACAAGATAGAAACTGATCGAGAAAAAAAACGTTCAACAGATCATAATAATGTTGAATACTTTTAAAATATTTTAATGTGGAAAGTATGTGAATCACTAAAAATGCTGCTTGAAGGTAAACATAGTGTCTCATATGATTGACAGGATATCTGGCTCGAAGATTCATAACTTTTTAATTAGTAATTAACAATTTCGTTCATGATACCTATTCTGTAAATAAAAACATTTTTCCATTAAATATAAATATATACATAGTCTAATCATTAAAAGGATCTTGTTTCAACATGATATCTCCTTCCTATAATACCCAAACTGACAACAACAAATTCCAGTGCAAATGAACTTTCTCATACCAACCTCATTACTTAGACATCTTTTGAAACACAATCGGCATTGATGTAATAAGCTTTTTATGAGTATACATAAAAAGCGAATAGTAAACTTTGAAAAATGAATTAGCTGAGTATCTCACAGTTATCAGCCATAGATGAACATTTTAAAAATGTCAAATATGACGAAGATTGATGACTGAAGTTTAGGTCAAATAATTGATAAATATTGAATTTTTAAAAACATGGTGATAAATCTAATGTTTCCGCAAACATTTCAGACACTTCGGGAACTAATGACCAGAATTAATACATAGAGAACAGAACAGAATCCCGGATGTCCACTGTAAGGTGATACCCCTGAACACTAATAGATAGAGCAGTGATAGAGTTGACTTTTTCTTGTACAGTTGTGCTGATGAAGTTGGAAACCACAGGAACACTACAGATACTTGACTACAAGTGGTTGCAGAAAGTAAATTGTTTGGTCGATGTTAAATTTAATTAAACGGTTTTAGGTAAGGAGGGTAGTCAGTTCAGCATATTTTGAAAACGTACCGATAGAATTTAAAAGAACATTTATTGTAAACTATACGCTATAGTATACTTGAATGTCTGATGATAAATGAAATTGATGGTAAAACCTTGGGTTGGTCAGATAAAACCTAAGACCAATTGATGACGATTAGTAAACGTTTTGATTCTCGGTTTACTAGTTATAAGAAAATCGTAGTAAGATTAGTTAAATGGTACAACTCGAGATTATCCATAGGGCAATAGACATTACTGTTAGGTCTTGGACACGAATTTATTTATGATTCAAATGTCTGCTTTCTAATTCATTTAAGCGCTTTTCACTTTATCACCTCACCGTCGTTTTGTGTTATTGAGATGAGACATAACTGGAATTCATGTACCATTAATACTCTGTTTACTTGGTTTTGATGGATAATTTAGGTCTAAGGGCTGTTAGTGAAGCTAGATTAAGATTTGAACCAAGGAATTAGTTTATATGATCTGCCATTTTCCACAGAAAACACTTTTGTTAAGTATGCGGATGACCTTACTATATGTACGCCGTTTTTTATCTCTTCACATTTCCTTAAATAAATGAGCTGTTTCTCGTGGAACAATGATCTGTTGTTAATAGTCGTATACTTAATCCTTCTAATGTCAAACTGTTAGTTTTGACCTGAGACATTAATAGATCTGAAATGCCTCGTTGGGATCCCATAAAGTCTGTACTATTGGAGATTTGTAATAAAAACAGTATCAAAGGTCAGTTATTTTGGTGTAAGATTATTTTATGATCTCTCTTTGTCATCTCATGTTTTATTAACATCGAACGTTTTCCGTCTGACTTACTATATAAAGAGGCTGCATGCTTTCGGCATTACTCGATATTTACTTTTATATGTGAATTCCTATACATTGCCTACTATTCTTTACTGTCCTCTATTATTCTTTGATGGACATTCGAGAAAAGATTTCGCAGTGTTACGGCGAGTGGTGAAGGGAGTTAGTATGGTGTGATGGATGGACAATTAAAATCTCGCAAACTCTTGACAAGTGCTATCTTATCAGACATTAACCATCCATTTCATTTTTATCTTTTTCGTTATATACCTTCTAATAGGACGAGGCGCCAATGCATTAGAATCCATGCACACAAGCAAAGGTATCAAAAAGCTCTACAATAACGTAACTGGCAAATATACTATGCAACGAACAGGTTGTAATAGCTGACCTAGTCAATAACCTGTATTCTTGAATATGTTGCTAATCAGTTGTACATGTTTTCCTCTTCTTAAAAACCTTTCACTTAATTTCAGGCAGCTTATTTACTTGATATATATATATGCAATCATCTGTCGTTTTTTTCTAATTTTGTAAGAGAAACTTGCTGGAATATTTTTTGGTGAGAATTCTAGATGGTAGTAACCACATAATATTGAATGAAGCCATTAATAATAATAAGTGTGGTTACCTGTGTTTTAGTCACTGAGTTAACGTTCGTTAACTATCAATCAATCCTAGGTCTTTTTCTACAGTCTAGTGTTTTTATTGTTTTGTTATTTTACAGATACTACTAATGGAACATGATAAGACAACAAAATTTCTTTTGAAATGAATACTTTAACATAAACTTCAGAATACCGAAGGGGTAAAACACATTCAACAAAAAAGTATTTCATGCGTATCAAATTTCGAAAACTTACTAAGTAAGCAACACATGCACTCAATGGTATCCATATGATAAGTGATAAAAAGACTGCAAAAAATACCAGATTGTCCCAAGCAATGGTGCCTATTGTTTTATTAAAAAAAACAATCAACGATGAAATGAATATATTTTTAAGACAAAAGTTTATTTAAAGAAAAGGAACAGGAAAGCAACTTAAGTAGAGTATAGAATTTTTAAATGATTTCCGTTTTTATATTTTTTTGGAAACAGTGATAATCGAAACAATTGATTTAATGTTTAAGAAATAAGCTATGATGTGATACAAATGGAACTATGCCTGTAGCTCTTCTGGAGGTACTGTCGGTCCCAAGCCCGGGTAAAGGAGGAGGGTTGGACATGAGTTTGGCGACCCCATCCTGTAGAAAACTAACTCGCTAAAAAACACTAACCAGAAAAAATAACTCAAACCATTTAAACTCTGCCCTGGGAGTTAGAAGATCTTCATTTAGAAGAAATATGACGCCTCATAGTGAAAGCCGCGTTCCTTCGGAAGCCATGAGGCCGATGTCCCTTCTAACAACCAGAGCAACAATTTTAATAGGTACATGGAACATCCGGACAATGTGGGATACCGGGAAGACCAGTCAAATAGCAGCGGAAATGAGGAGATACAAATTGGCAGTCCTGGGAATCAGCGAAACCCAATGGACTCAAGCTGGACAACAAAGGCAATTAATCATAGAGAAGTGCCCAAGAAAGGACCTCACCATTTCGATGGGAGATCTAAACACCAAAGTCGGAATAGACAACACCGGATATGAAGATATCATGGGACGATATGGACTGAGAGAGAAACGAAAATGGGGAAAGATTTACAAGTCCGTGTGCGTTCAACAAATTGGTCATACGCGGCACAACATTTCCACACAAACCTACACACAAAGCTACATGGATCTCACTGGACCACACCACAGAGAACCAGATAGATCATATTTGCATCAATAAAAGGTTCCGAAGGACAATGAAAGATGTGAGAACTAGGAGAGGAGCTGACATAGTTCCAGATCACCACACAGTTGTGGCCAATTTAAAACTGAAGCTAAAGAAGAACTGGACAACTGGACAAACAGCACTACAAAGATTCAATACAGCCTTCCTCCAAAATACTAACAAATTCAACGAATTCAAGTTAGCTCTCAACAACAGGTTCCAAGCCTTACAGGACCTACTGAAGGAAGAAGAAACTACTATGGAGCACAAATATATATATATATATATATATATATATATATATATATATCACTATCAAATACACAAAGACTTTCAGATATCGATGAGTTAAATCATTAAAGATAATAAATATTTAAATGAATATACACATAAACAAATTAAAATTTTCTCTTCACAATAATAAGAATTATATTCAGTGATGAGAACAAGACGAACTTCAATAAAAAGTCGCTGAATATACATGTTAATAAAAAGTGATACCTACCGAAATTCTTGTGTTTAGAATAATGAACTGGTGTCCAAAATCGTAATATCCGTTTACTTTTCGATTCTATACATTTTCCCGCCATACAATAACCATTAAGACATGGCCGATAATCTTGCAAATGAATATGTACTAAAGGTTGTTCATGATAGTATGAATTAATATTGTTAAAATCGATTGTAGGTAGTTTTTGAGTTTTATTATTAACAATAAAGTGATATGTATCATTTGGTGAGTGTTTATCATACAACCGTAATATATTAGACGAGAATGGTAAAAATTTATGCATAGAATACAGAGTTGATCGTTTTGAATGATGAATCATTGAATAGAATTTATAAGATCCTGAATGTTTTACAGTATTCTGTTTAGAATATAACAGATATTCATTTTGGGACAATATAACAGGAAGGCATATGGTGCTTTGATTTGTAGTTGAATTTGATGTTGGAAATAAACAGCAAATATAGCAGGATTCTTCAACTATGTACAATGAAAGAATAAAAAAACAGTGATACTTTTATATTTGGAAATTTATTCTACTGAATTATAATCGTAAGTAGTTAGTACAATCTAAATTCATTATTTATTACGTTATTTAAATTTAAATTAATCTATTTATGCATACTAATCAGTGAATTATTGTCGAGTTCCATAGTGATGCGATTAGAGTATATAAAAATCAGTCGTCTAATTTTGAATAAGGATAACTGAAAAAATCTTTAGACGTTGTAATAGACCAATGAATTTTCCCACTGGACATGAATCTTCTCAGATCTATACTCTATATAATAGTAAAAAAATCCGTTATATCTATTGGATTCTATCTGAAATTTCGCTTCAAGATCATGGAACTTTTATGAAAATACAATCAGCAAAGAGACTGAACTATGGCACAAAGCGATTACGTAAGCTAGGGCCATATACTTGCTCTTGTGACACAGGTTACACTGGCCTCACAAAGCGAACACTAAAGAAACGAATCTCTAATCATTACCCTGGCCGACTCAAAACGATTATCCAGGCCGATCAGTAGATTAATTCTGGAAAATCTCGTGAAGTTCTAATCACGTTCTCTTACCAGAATCTAAATTCCTCCACATTGTCAAACGAATTGGTTATAAATTAGAAACCTATGCACTATAGAGGCTTCTGTAACTTGTTGACTGAATTTCACAATCATTTCTTATCTATCAACTTTATCTTACTATATTCTACTTATCTTTAAATCACTACTTAACCTACTTTTAATATTCAATAAATCCGAATGCTTTATAACACAATTTTACACTACTTTTTAATAGACAACTATAAACGTTAAGCAACATTAGACACGGTTGTATAGCTTCACTAAAAGATAACATCAAAAGAGATTTTTTGGGTGAACATTTCTTATCTTTTATCAATGATGCAAGCGGTTTTTTTATAATAAGTTCATCCAACCTACCTGAATCACAGATACAAGTTTCTAGTCCAAGACTTGAGCAAAAGGGATGACATTTACCCTGAAAACATCGCCCATGTTCATCACATTGACCACCGGATAAAAGTGTTGGACCTGGACAAAGAGATGATAAACCATTACACTGACCAGGTCCTAAACAAGGATTAGTACTGCTAGTTTGTGCGCAAATAGTATTCTTTGGTGCTAATTGACAATCTGTATAAAGAAAGGTAGTAGAAATATCAAACAACGGATCGATGTACGAGGAACAGTTTACAAATACTCAAGAAAAGAAACAACACCGTGTTCTACAAGTTAAAGTAGATAAAAGAACTATACGAATACTACAACTCAATGGTTGAACGTCAAGTGTGACTTAACAACTAAGCTGATAAACGAGATAGGTTTGAATTTCTTATGAAATATTAGACTTTATGACTGTCAATGAATATCGATAAACGCGATACTCATAACTTGTTAATTACCCTAATACAATCTACATGCGATTAATGAACTTCAATTTATCTGTTACATGAATGATACTATAAGTAGAATCAATGTGAACAATAATAATTAATCTGAATTCAACATAAAAAATGGATTTTCGAAACAAAAACTAACCAGAAGTACAACAACCATGATTCCAAGGTGAACAGTGAGCACCTGTTCTAAAATAACACTCAGAACTACAACAAGGATCATGTGGATTTCGACCAGCATCACATTCTTCACCCTCATCAATACGACTGTTACCACAAAGATTTGAAAGAGCCGCAGATGAATCTTCAAAACATAATGGAGCACGAGTAATCAAACAAGCGCCAATTGTCCGTAAACTACATGGTGAAAATTTCTAAAGAAATAAGTATGAGATTGATAGTGATATTCATAAACCGCCATCAAGTAAGTCTAAAATACCTTGATAAGGAAACATTTGACAAGTGCATTACTAGTCTCTTCCATCAATAATTGATTAATTATTTATTTAAACACATAAACATTCTTACAAAGAAGCACCAAATATATATGTCCCACACATTAGTTATCATTTAATTTGCTTGTGATATAAGATTTTACCCGGCGCCCAAAACGAAGCAAGTGGTTTCCTCAAAGTGTCACTCCACAAGTCTTTGACATAAAGGTCTTATCTACAAGGTAGTTGAGCAACATTAGGAGATGTGGTCCTATGTTAGGCAATGGTCGAGGTTAGGTTCATATACCATTTTTTCCTCAGAATCCTGTAACCCATGTACTCCGTTGGTTTGGATTCAGGGTTTTCGAACTCCTCTAGATGGGTCTTTCTTATCCACCAACCCGGTTTGAGCGCTGGACATTCGCTTTTCGTCCTTTTAATTTCGTAAATAACACTCCTCCGCGATTCCTGGAATCTCGACTAGAAACATACCCACATGGAAATATGAGTATGTGATTACTACTGAAATTCAGATGCGATTAGTTACTTGTGCTCATTATTACAAACAATATAAAACAATTAGAAATCAATTCTGTGTTAAGTGGAAAAAAACATATTTGATAAATTAGATATTACATATTCACGTCTGGAAAGAATTGAACCATGATATCTAACAAGAAAAACTATTGACAAAGAGAATAACACGCGACTTTTTTTCGATTGATGTTGAGAAATGGTACTTTATCATGAGGAATCTATTTCATCGTTAGTCTTCAGATTGTCAGTGTAATAATTTTTTTAGAAAATCACATTCACATTTTATATCCAAAAATTTCACTACATCTGAAAAAGGTAGATTTAATAAAAGACCAATCAATATGACTATGTAAGATTTCATACCAATAATTTCAAACGCAAACTTCTAATCCCAATAGTGGGCATCATATGGTATGATAATATAAATCCACAGAAGGTCAGTGACAGGAATTAATTACTGTAAACAAACCTGAATTCATTTGAGCGCTAAAAGTTACTTTAGACAATTGGGTTACTTCACTTCAGTAATAAAGACTGATTAGTCATAAAAGAAACTATCACATTTCAAAAATACTGGAAATATGTAAATCTCAAGGATTTAAAAGTGATGTAAGATGTAGACAATCGATTGCATATAATTTGAACAACTGTAGATTATATGTTGAATTATTGTGGTCTCATAAATGTTCATTCCTCCATAATTGAAAAAGAATTAGTCATACTAACAGAGCATGTCAATGTCGTGCTACAAGAAAATATGCAAATACCATTTTGGCCATCAAGGGTTAAGTAAATAACTTTAATGGTTAAGAGGATAAAAACTCTAAACTAATTAATAGGTTACTTTTTTCTAATATAGTGTATGTTTTTAAGTTATTTTTAGTACCAGCAGTCGAGATTTCCTTTATATCATACAATTATTCAAGGAAAATATCTTTCATATAAGAGATTTCGAGAAATAACATTCAAATTATGGTTACTACCAACTGATTGAATATAATGAGATGATACATGAATAAATAAAAACTAATGCAACTAACTCCATTATTTTCAGCATAACCTGAAACTGAATAGGTATACATTAAATATTTTCCAGAACTTATAGCTGTAGGATTGCATTCATCTGTATCAGGATCATGATCTGCACCCCAACTATGTCCTAATTCATGAGCCGTGATTAATTCAGCCAAAGCGTTAACTAGTTGTTGACCATTATAATCTACATAAGTAGTCCATCCTGTATTTAAATAGAGATCCTTTTTATTATTCCGTCGAACTATTTTGGCAAAAAAAGAAATATGTACATATTTTTTAAATGGTAGAAATAACTCTGTGAACTTTATTGTAACGACTAGTGATATTACTTGGCAACATGACAAACTGTTGACTGCGACTAAAAATCAAACAACTTGGATCATTAATCAGAAGCGTCATTAACACTGTAATATAATGTGATGTAGCCTTTTCAATTATACTGTGGTGTGAGCTATTTATGAGGACAGACATAGGTAGTATGTAGCAGCAACTCCAAGTCGGATGGCTACTAGCAGAAGGTTGAAATGAAGAAAAGAGCAATCGGAATAACAATTGAATTGGAAGAATGATGGAGTATGTAAAAGACGACTAAATAAAGATACGCAAATGATGTGCCTATTGCATGATTTTGATATTTTGTAAAGTCACTGTGTGATTATGCATAGAACAATAAATTGGTTTACCGCGTCTGAGTCTTCGTCCATTACGATACTTTCATTTTACCTATAATTAAATATGATTTATATATATATATATATATATATATATATATATATATATATATATATATATATATATATATATATATATAAAGAGAGAGAACAGACAGACAGAGAATATGGTACAATAAACTTCTTTATATAGTTTAGTTGTCTTTACAGTATACTAGCAAATGATTAATAACCCTACAAAACAAAATTTCTGATAATGTAGAGTGGCGCATTATTTGTTAAAGCACTCAAATCTTAATCAACAAGCTTGAGTCACATTTTACTTTAATTTAGAGAGCCAAATAGTATTTAGTAAGCCATAAAGAAAGCTAAACAAATTAAAATCTGCTTTATAAGCTATTTAGAATTACTACTAAGGCAACCTACAGATGGTACTCTCTCGGTATTTAGTAATATAATTAAATTATTCTGATACTACCTTTTGCTTACTACTTTAACATTATACCTTTTTTCTAAACTTAATGTATAATTATCTATTGAGATTGATTGTTAAAACATTTAAAACACGTTTTTTTACGTTAAAATCTATAATGCCTCACCAATTAGGGACGATTGACCATAATATAATGACCTGACAGTTAGGTCTTAATTTGGTGTAAACAAAGTGACCTAAAAAGCTTATAACTTTTAATCGCTTTGTCATATAATCATCATTTATTTTTGTGCTAATATTTAGTATACAAGTATATTATTTTATTAGATAAAAGGTTGGTTTATTGACTATTGTTCTCATTGTTAATTTCAATTCATTAGAGGTTTACGGTAGTGATTCACCATAGTGCGTAGTCAGAATTTGGTTACATAGATGTTTCAACTACAGTTGATAAAGATTCACTACCTCATCAATCGATTTGCTATTCCTCCGCAATACCTTGCATCTAATCTCAGAATTGATAGTTCGATGGTCCCAACATATAAGAGAAATGCTTCGAAGATATTTATAGTTAAGCACGAGTAACCAAAGAATATCCTCAAATTTTAAAGGCTACATCTCGTAGTCGTAAAACAGAACGGAGTAAACTACTGTGCATCTTTGTTGTTTAATTTGGTCAGTACCATTTTCTTCAATGAATGGGACTATATCGTTTGCATATTTTGAGTCTATACGAGAACTTCCTGATAATAGATCAACCCCTGAAAAGTTAGGTGAGGAAAGTGTTATTTCGAAGGAGGTATCTATGACAAAATTAAATAAAGAGGGAGATTATTTGCAATAGATTGTCATGAATATTCTTTACATCAAACGATTGTAGAGTACAAACAATAAAATATCATCATATTGTCAACAAGTTATGTTTGAACTCTACCACATGTTAAGAAGCACTTTTAGAGTAAATATATTTACTTTTCGTCTTTTCTCAGACCTTGAGTTTTAAAATAATCGTTTATTATCTATCCTACGAATTCATTTTTCTTCCTGATTCATATTAATTATCCCCAATGTTTTCTATTACCACTGATTATGTTACTACTTTTACTACTCTGATATTCGTATTGATAATTTATTCTCTCTCCGCTGGTGCGGTATGGAAATTTGAAACGAAGAATAAATGTGCTAAGTTCTACTTTGTTTATGATTGACACTTGAAAACAGACAGGAATATGACAGTTGCAGATTTTATCATCACAACCGAAAAGAACTAAACGGATAGTACGTTGAAATTTAGGTGACCGATTTTCGTGTCAAAAATGCATTAATTAATAGAAATACAAAACTGAAGACTTACGAGGTGGGGAACAAATACCGCCTAACTTCTTTGGATCCGGGGAGGCCAACCAAGACATCCCTAAAATGCCCTCATCTATTCTTTTGTAGCTAAGTAAATGAGCCAAACAACAATGTTTCGCATGGAATCGACTAAATGCCTAGGAAAAATTTGGGTAAAGCAAATAAAGTATTTCGTTAAATACTGATAAGATTATAGTATAAACCTGCGTATAATGAAAGGCTATTTAACACAACTAATATTCTACAACTAACATCTTCTAAGAGAAAATCGCATATACAAAAACCATCAAGACACTAGAAAAATTTAAAAGAAAAGTAAACTGATTGATGAGATTAAACATCAGCACAATAGTTGTGCGAATGATAAAGTTGGTTGTCTGACGTTAAACCTATTATTATATCACAACTCAAACTCTATAACTATAAGCCATATCATTTTATGCTTTAGGATATATGCTACTTGGGTTTCACAAAGTAGTATATTTTTGCATGTCTGACAAGTTCAAAGGCTAGAATATGTAAGTAAGTTCCCGTTAGTGCAACATACATTTCAGAGTTAGTTTCGTCCTCAAGATTGTTCGAATATATTCTCCCGTTTCGCTTCCAACGGCCTATAGATTAACAAATATTTATAACAATTCTACTTATTTAAAAGAGAGCAAGAACAAACATTGGTGCAGAATAATATGAACTCATTTCATTTCGTTAGGTTCTCATCAGCTGCTTACAACCTAAAATATTTGAAATTCAACGTTGTTACAGATATTGACATAATTATACATAAGAGGGTGATGAAGGATGAATATATGTATCATGATGTAGCAAAGATTCCGTTAGAGTTAATGAGGTCATAAAATTTTTGTTTCGAATAAATAAAGTTTGGGAGGGAAGGTTCCAGAACATTGAAATAGTGATTAGAACTCATGGAATTAAAACACATTAGATTACTATGTAATGAAGTAACTGAAAATAGATTAATCGTAATAAAGAGGGATATGAATTGAAATTGATCAGTTATGAATGATGTAATTATAAAATTCAGAAAGAGTTGGAATGACGTAATAAATAAAAGGGGGGTCAATGTTACCAAGGCAAAGAAAGATTTATTACTGTTTCTTTTTGTATACAAAGTTTTTTGAGGTTGACGTTGAACAAATTTTCGTATTTGTTGAACCAGGTTTCAAAAGTAATGCCAGCCGAACCATCGAAATTAAATTAATGGATAGAATTAATGACGTGGTCAACATGAAATTTGGAGGGATCATCTGTGATTTCTTTTTGATTCAGGTTCAGTTTCTGGGCTAGCTTCTCTATCAAGCGCATCTGGAACTGGTCGAACCGTTTTACTTGACGTTCCAGCAATGCTTCAATTTGTTCAAAGGTAAATGATATCTTGGTACGATAACCCCGTCGCCAGTTGTTATACCTAGAAGGTTGTTTCTTTGATATACCGCGTATAACTGAGCACTAGAACGCTAAAACCATTCCAAGTCGCAAGGAGAAGACAGAAGACTAATGGAAGGAATAGTATTCCAAACAGTGTCAATTATAGTACAAAACTGTGATGTATTTATAGTTTTTAGTAAGAGCGAAATCATCATTACAGTCCTCAAATCCGCATACAGGAGGTTAATGGGATTGTCCAATCGGGAAGCTACACGTAGGAATTCTAGAATATTCTTCTGAGAGGTGATTGAATGGGATATCTTCGGCTTCTCCTGAGCCTCTTACAGCTTCCTCGAGTTCACCCGTGGTCCGTCGTCACATACTTATATTCATCCTTCATCACCCTCTTATGTATAACTATGTCAATATCTGTAACAACGTTGAATTTCAAATATTTTAGGTTGTAAGTAGCTGATGAGAACCTAACAAAATGAAATGAGTTCATATTATTCTGCACCAATGTTTGTTCTTGCTCTCTTTGAAATAATAAAGGGAACTATGTGTATGAAATTTCTCAAAATGCGTCTCCCTACACAGTCATTGAAGTCGTTGAATCACCTGGTGACAACAAGCTGGAGAATATCGAGAGAAATTACTCGACTTAAGTTTTTTGATGAATGTCTCAAGTCATGCCGTTCCCCACGTTAATTCCTAAAATGATTGCGCTCATGTAAACTTCCGCCTACTCTTAAAAATCTTCGACGCATCACAAAATTTCACATAGAATCAACAAAGTTACTGGTTGAACGTTTGAGGACAGAAACTAATGCCTCTGATGAATTAGTTAACGATCTGAGTATCGTAAGTCGCATAAAATTTGTCAATTTTATCGAAGGTTTGCAAAACAGAATAAGCAAGAACTTCCACGTAACTTTGTTAAAGACTTTGTCAAAGGAACAACTTTGCTTTGGCTTCCCAGAAAACCCTGAAATTCTCTCTATAATCTATCAAAAGAGAAGTTAAGCCTTGTCGCTTGGATTTAAATTTCATATCCCTAAAACACATCCCGATAGAATCGACACAGAAACTCAATTTGAGAATTTATTTGATCAAATTAAAGAGTTTCACCCAGTTAGTGAAGAAAAGAAAGACTGGTTTAAATCTAAACTAGTCGATATCGCAAACCAATACCTCGTTTCACTCACACCACAATCTAAACTTTTATCCAAAGACCACCTAACAGCATTACGAAATATTAAGCAAAATGATGATATAATGGTATTACGGTCAGATAAAGGTTCAAGTGTTGTTCTAATGAACACAACAGATTATGTCTCTAAGATGAAGTTCATTTTGAGTGACCACACGAGATTCAAGTTAGAAAAAAGTAGCAAAGACTTAGCTGATTCTACTGAGAAAACAATCACGAAAGTACTCAGAGACCTACTAAAGAAGAAGATGATCGGTAATTCTATTTACAATAACCTACGACCTCGTGGGTCTCGTTTGCTCCACATGTATGGTTTACCGAAAATACATAAACAAGATAATCCTCTTAGACCTATTCTGTCAATGGTCAATTCACCATACCACAAAGTTGCACGATGGCTGGCAGATAAATTAGAACCAGTTCGTCAACGATTAGCCACCTATACACTAAAGGATTCATTTGTATTTGCTGACAGCATGAATCACATAAATATTGCTGGTAAGTTTATGGTTTCTTTTGATGTGACATCATTGTTTACAAAAATACCACTTCTTGAAACCATAGATATAATTTTTCAGCATCCTGACATCCTACCTCTACCAGCAACAGAATTCAAACGACTATTACTCATGTGTACAAAAGATGTTCAGTTCCAATTCAACAATACTATATACGGACAAACCGATGGTGTAGCAATGGGAAGTCCGTTAGGCCATGTCCTAGCAGACATTTTCATGGCTAACATCAAAAGAACCAAGCTCAAGGGAGCGATTGATGACATGATGTATTATTCGAGGTATGTTGATGATACCTTCATCGTATGTAATAATCAACATGCAACAAATCTACTAAAATTTCCAACAAAGCCCATCCAAATATTCATTTCACTATGGAACATGAAAAAGAAAACAAATTCCATTTTCTTGATATCGCGATGAAACGAAGAAAGGATGGTACAGTCCAACGTTCAGTTTATAAGAAAGAAACATGAAATGGGATTTATCTCAATTTCAACAGCTTTTGTCCAATCAATTACAAAAAGGCACTTGTCAAAACACTGTTTCACAGAACAGAAAGAATATGTACTGACGATACAATAGAAGACGAAGTTATGGATGTTAAAAAGTGTTTAATGAATAACGGATACCCATTGAAATTTATTGAGAAATATGGAAAGCGTAAATAAAAAAACATGTTTTGATTCAACACAAATTCAAAGGTGATAATGTCACAGGGTCAATCAATATGAGACTAAAAAACTGCATTGACAAGAACATATCCTGCAGCTAAATTGATTGTCCTGTCCAAAACAACATGTTCATTGACACAATCAAAGGTCGACAGGTATCCCTTTCATGTTACCACCGACGGTGTATACAAATTTACATGTATCTTCCAAAGCAGTTACATTAGTAGAACAGAAAGGAGAGCCTACGTCCGATTCAAAGAACATATTCCGAAGGGTTTGAGATAAACGGACTGAAAGCATTCAGCAGTGCTATCTCAAGACATCTCCTTGACACAGGACACGAAGTCAATATACTGAAGTCCTTCAAGGCGATTAACAAACAATCAAATTCAACCCTTTTGAAATTTGAGGAAGCGATAGCAATCAAACGTTTAAAACCAGATCTTTGTATACAAAAAGAAACAGTAATAAATCTTTCTTTGCCTTGGTAACATTAACCCCCCTTTTATTTATTACGTCATTCCAACTCTTTCTGAATTTTATAATTACATCATTCATAACTGATCAATTTCAATTCATATCCCTCTTTATTACGATTAATCTATTTTCAGTTACTTCATTACATAGTAATCTAATGTGTTTTAATTCCATGAGTTCTAATCACTATTTCAATGTTCTGGAACCTTCCCTCCCAAACTTTATTTATTCGAAACAAAAATTTTATGACCTCATTAACTCTAACGGAATCTTTGCTACATCATGATACATATATTCATCCTTCATCACCCTCTTATGTATAATTATGTCAATATCTGTAACAACGTTGAATTTCAAATATTTTAGGTTGTAAGCAGCTGATGAGAACCTAACGAAATGAAATGAGTTCATATTATTCTGCACCAATGTTTGTTCTTGCTCTCTTTTAAATAAGTAGAATTGTTATAAATATTTGTTAATCTATAGGCCGTTGGAAGCGAAACGGGAGAATATATTCGAACAATCTTGAGGACGAAACTAACTCTGAAATGTATGTTGCACTAACGGGAACTTACTTACATATTCTAGCCTTTGAACTTGTCAGACATGCAAAAATATACTACTTTGTGAAACCCAAGTAGCATATATCCTAAAGCATAAAATGATATGGCTTATAGTTATAGAGTTTGAGTTGTGATATAATAATAGGTTTAACGTCAGATAACCAAATCAGAGAAAGAAAAATTAAATGAAAACTAGAAATTTATCATTAGAAAACAAATCTACTATGGTGTATATGGTTAAACATTTGTTTATCCTCTGAAACAGAAAATAATCGAGAAAGTGCATCGCGGAGGAGTGTTATTTACGAAATTAAAAGGACGAAAAGCGAATGTCCGGCGCTCAAACCGGGTTGGTGGATAAGAAAGACCGATCTAGAGGAGTTCGAAAACCCTGAATCCAAACCAACGGAGTACATGGGTTACAGGATTCTGAGGAAAAAATGGTATATGAACCTAACCTCGACCATTGCCTAACATAGGACCACATCTCCTAATGTTGCTCAACTACCTTGTAGATAAGACCTTTATGTCAAAGACTTGTGGAGTGACACTTTGAGGAAACCACTTGCTTCGTTTTGGGCGCCGGGTAAAATCTTATATCACAAGCAAATTAAATGATAACTAATGTGTGGGACATATATATTTGGTGTAACAATATTTATGTGTTTAATAATAATAATAATAATAATAATAATAATAATACTTCAATACTGGTAATTGAAGATAATAAGCTGAAAAACAAAATGGGTAACATTTACCTACCAGCATTGTTTTATTTCTTGATTTCTTAAGTGACTCCTTTTAATTTTTAACTGAAGAAATATTATATAGGATTCGCATATTTATGTGAAATTTGTCACATATTATTCTGACTATAATATACAGCTAAACTAATTATATATAGATTAACTAGTGAGATGCTATTTTACTGTGCCATCCAGTTGACCTCAGATTATAATATTGAGTGGAAATATACTATATGAGTTTTAGGAGTTTCACTGCCAGTGGTGTTCTTAATTATTCAGTTGATCAAGCGTAGTTGTGGCCATTTGAAAACCAAATTTACGATAAATTTATTTCGTGAAAACTAAATCTTATTGAAACGGACTTTTATTTGACTACTTTGTCGAGTTCAATTTCATTTTTGATGTGAAAATACGTAAATGAACGTGCGGTCTACTCATGTGGTAATACTCTTCTATCACAATAAATAGTAAATAAAAGGAATCTCTATGATTTCAACGAAAGATATTTCGAAATAAATATTTATCAAAAACTTACACGCAATAGGGATGTAGCTGTCCAAATTTTCCCACCTACATCAGTTGGTGAATTATAGTGACCGTAATCAGCTGTCCATGATTCATGGATTACGATCTATAGTGTTGAGAGAAAAGAATACCAATTAAGGTCAAATAGGGGAATGATAATATTACATCTCAATAATAATAGTGATAATAATAATAATAGTAATAGTAGTAATCAAAGTTGGCACACACTTACCTCATGTAATAAAAAGCCATAGCCAATCATTTCATCGTGTTTATCATCCAAAAATTTTGAAGTAAGAAACAGATAATTTAACCGGTCAAATACTTTAATCTTTAGGAAAAGAATGTAAATTATTAAATTAACATGATAACAAATAATAAAAAAACTAACAACATGACTGATAGTTTTAGGTCCATTTCTATTTCCTAAATTAGTGAAAAAATCGTAATCAGCGACGAGCGTAAGACGACAAAGTTTGCGCTGTAATTGTATGGGGTGAAAACGTTTTCGTCTAACATAGACATCTGTAAAAAAAAAGTGAGAGAATGGGAATTGAAACAGAACTTGGTCGCTCAAGTGATAAACTATAAAAAATAATGAATTGGACAAATTGAAAATCGATTCACCGAAAATTGCAAATAAACAGATACTGGGACTCAGTGATCGTAAAATTCATTCTTAATCTACTGTGTATGAACAACTCTCCATAACACTAATAGAAAAACGTATAACGTTTGGCAAAAACACTGATAAAATGTAGTTTTCTAGGTACTAAGATCTGGGATGCATATTATATCTGTCAAGTGTAATATATCTAGCATAAAGACTGTATGGGCTAATGTCTAGTGCAACAGAAACGTTTGAAATGGACAAGAACATGAACTATTTATGCAACTTAATTAAAAACGTACCTTTGCCCCAAGAATTTACAGACAGTTATGCAGTCACTTGTTCTAAATGGATTCACCTTCACAGAATATGTGAACATCAAACAAGTAATGTCAGCCAATATGTACCGAATGGGTATCTATGACAAGTATGACCGCCGTATTACGTCAACTATTGATCAATAATAGCTGCTCGTAACTCTGATAACTAGGGTTTGTGCGTAAACGCCTTTGGGTACAACTTAACGAAGAAAAATGGTACAAATTAATTGCGTGGACAAGTGAAATCTACTGACAGAAAAACAGCTTGAGACACGACACAAACGTGCATCGGTTTAAAGTTGTAAAGAAAAGAGCCTTCCAGTTAACGAAAGTATGAATGCGAACAGTAGTTAACAAAATAAGATTTAATTTAGTTGAAAATACAACTGAGATACGTCCTTTCATTTAAAAGGATTTATCTTAATTCTATAAATCCCAGTAACTAACAGAATGATAGCTACTGGGGTTCTTTTCTGAGACATATATGATGATGTCTCAAGTCCGGTTTTTATGATCTCCAGGACTAGGAAGCCATGGACGAACAGGTCACGGCCTTACATAGCCAGCATTTATGTCAAGGTACCACACCATAAACTTACCACTTCTGCTCTTTTCCCACCCACTCTAAACGTCGGGAAATAATGCACGATATGAAGGCCCCTGGGATGTCATTCGTAACGCATGCCCAAGCCTATAGTCTCGATGCTTTAAGATAGTTGGACTGCAATCAAATATACTGCTGGACCTCAACATTACTTAAGCGGTGTTGCCACTGGATGTTAGCAATCCATAGGAGACAACGATGATCAGAGATAGGATAGTTAACCATATTCAGTTCGAAGAGGACACGTTTCACGAACATAGATCAGAACTGGTCTGACCGAAGTGTAGTCTGTTCGACCTTTCATAGTCAAAACAACATAATGACAGTGCGAAAGATGGGTCCAGATTGATAATTATGTAAATTATTAGGTCAACTATCACAACTCCATGGTTCAATTTAGTCTCCATGGGCAAAAATAGGCTACACTCATTACTGTGAGGAACAAATAATTATTGATTGCGTCATACCCCTGTAGCACCAAGCAGCAGTCATTTCACTAGTGAACGGTTTTCTTAAAATACTGTAGAGAACAAGAGGACGCAGAGTGGGAACAAAATATAAGGAGTGGCTAAAAAGTCCTTTTCAAGTGAAAACCGGTGTGGAGACTGACAGCAAGGTATATTTAACAAGACACAGACATACTGGGGAGCAAAAATGATATAATAACTCGTTATGATATGGGATTTTATGAACGAACTTTCAACTTAAAATCAGAGAAGAGAATGTCGATTGATAGACATGAATTGATAAAGTGCCCGAGTGATAGCTGTGCATGAGATCAAACTATTGACGTAAGACCTCGAATCAGATGAGGTCAAAGACAAGCCCATTATCCAGAAGAATAGGTTTTTTATCTAGTAAAATAACGGACTTATATACAAAATATCCATACAAAAACAACATGATTAAATGACAAATGATTGGACAAAGTCAATTTGTGTGTGGCTCATTCTCCAATTAATTAAATCCTGAGTTTTATGCCTAGTTCTAGCCCATAATATCATTTCATAAAAAAATTTAAAAATATACACCAACATGATCCTAATGAAAAAATTCTATACAGAAAGATATCTCGTCAATTAAAAAATAGCTTATTATTTAGCTTATATGTGAAGTGGCATGTATATTTTAAAAAAGATTCTTTTATCAGATTTAAGTGTAATTAAACTACCACTAACTAACCAAATGTATCAGTTTCTAGGGCCAATAAAGTGGCTGATTTATAATTCATCGAATTACTAAAATGAAGTTAACAACAAGTCAGAGAAAGGAAATCAAACACTTACTTTAGTATCTTTTTAAATTGAATATCTCTTAGGCGATACATTAACATGGAATTATTTCCAATATAGTTTGTGTAATCAGACAATGGCTAAGAATAATAATTAAGATACTATAATTTACCTCAATAACAAAAATATCTGATTCCACATGAATATGAGCGCTGAGTAGTGAACTGTATGATTCCAAATGAGCTAACACAAATGATTGGTTTGAATCTGATACATAGCCAGTATGTAATTCTGCATATTTTGTTTTCGGATAAAAAGAGTGGGTACCATTTGAACTGATAAATCTTACTGACAAGTTAGAATTATGAAACGATGTTTCACGATGAAGAACCAAATACCATGATCTAGAGGAATGAGTAAAAAACAACAATTACCTTCCCCATGCATAAAACACAGTTTGCCTGGTCTGCCGTCCACTAATATCTCGAGCGATACGAAAGGATGGTCTCTCAAATAACTCATATTGTCCCAGCTGTGAAAATATATCGGATTCTAAAAACATTTTGAAATATCACGGAACACACTACCTATCCTCAGAGTATACTGAATAAATAAAGTCAGGAAAAACAGTAAACACATTGTTCACAGCCAATTATTAGCTGTATAAACCACATACTGTATGTTGTTAAGCGTAAAATTAAATATCAGGGTCTAGAAGGCTTATGGAGTGACATGAATTGGATTTAAATCAAAAAGACCACTGAATGAGCACAAAAACAACGATTAGAAAGTCTGAAATCAAAATTTTTTTGAAAAAGAAAAGTTAATTAAATGGAAAACACAAATAAAATTAATAAATTGTAAGTTATTTGCAGATACAGTCAGTTTCAACAGTGATAACATGAGTGGCAATTAATCAAAAGATCCCGCTGGAAACTGTCCAGTCAGGATACTAGCAGGTGATTTCTGATACGGAAAAATAGGGAAATAGAACATGTTGAGCGATACACTGATAATTCAATGATCAGTAAATTTTGGTAGTTTGTTCTTTCCAGTTAATCGCCCATATTCGAAAAATATTAACAGCTTGAGTTATATACGTCAAGATGAATCACTGATGAGCTTATTGTGGAATGAACAAAGCTGTTCTTTAGTATTTAAATTACATTTTGGATTGTGTAGATACTATCGAGTAGCTACATCGTTAAATTACCAAATAAATCTCTTAATTCGAAATCAGACTCAAATATTGACATACTAGCAAGCCAATTTGATAAAGTTACATCAAATCCTCAGTTAACCGAATTCACTAAACTGACATATGACAATGCACTGACTCTTGGGCTATATTTATGATCGGAAGCCTAAACCAGGATACGTAAATCTGAATCAGTCAGCTAAAACGTCTACGTTGCCACGCCTCATTAGCACAACAACATGAACATAAAATTCGTAGAAGCAGTTACTTTCATGTTAGTAATATATAAAGGAAAGATTGCATATAAGGATATAGTACAGGTATGAAGTAATTTTAATGTCACGGTTTAAGGGAAGACAGAGAGTGTATACACCGACGCCACTGTGATCGATTCTGAGCCACGTCGCCCAGAGTCTCCAACCATTGGTTACGATAGTCACGCGGACCCCAACCAAGTAGTTCGCATCTAACAACATAGCTCAGACCAGAAGTTAGTGACTTCAAGCACTGACGCCACGTTTTGGTTTGGCCACCCCTAACTTTCTTCCAACCATCTCCAACACCAGTAAGCATTGCGCGTCGTGGTAATCGGTGGTTGGGAATATGCAATACGTGGCCCAACCATCTCAGTCGATGGAGAATCACAACAACATCAACTGATTTACCATCATTCCCTAATACCCCGCGTCTAACCTCACTATTATTTACCTGGTGATCCCAGCAATATTTCTAAGACATCTGTGGTCAAATATTAGTAGCTTACGAGTATCTTCTACTCTTAATGGCCACGTTTCGCAGCCGTAAGGTAAAACAGAACGAACTGCCGCGCAGTATACTCGTCCCTTAATTGATAGACGAATATCTCGCCTTCGCCATAGGTGACGTAAGTTGGCAAAGGTCAAACCAGCTTTTCGAATCCGTGCTGAGATTTCGTCAGACACCAACCCATTAGGGCTGATCAGACTTCCAAGATAAGTGAAGTTGTCAATGCGTTCGACTACTTCACTCCCTATCCTTGGTTCAGGTGTTGATGCAGGCCAATCCTGAAGCATCAACTTACATTTGGAGGGGAGAAGCGCATCCCGAACATCCTGGCATTGTTGCTCAGTGCTACCAGAAGACTCTGCATTTTATCGGCGTCTTCATCAAACAGGACTATGTCATCTGCGTATTCTAAGTCAATAAGTGGACCTCCTGATAGGAGATCAATACCCGAGAATTCAGTCGACGAGAGCGTTATTTCCATCAGTAGATCTATGATGAAGTTGAACAAAAATGGAGAAAGTGGACAGTCTTGACGGACACCACTTGAGGTTGCAAAAGCAGATGACAGTTCGCCATGAGCTCTCACTCGACTAGTAGTGTTTGAGTAAAGAGCCATCACAAGGTTTATGTACTTCTGAGGTACGCCTTTCAATGACAGACACTGTCACAGAACCTCTTGGTCAACAGAGTCAAATGCTGGTTTTAAGTCAAGAAAGACCACCATTATCGGACGCCCATAAGCATTCCTGTGTTCTAAAATCAGACGAATGGTGAATATGTGGTCTATGCATCCACGACCAGGTCTGAAGCCAGCTTGGTTCCCTCGTGTTTGTAGTTCACGAGTATTAGTTAGGCGTCCGATAATTATCGAGGCTAGTATTTTAGATACTATATTAGTCAAACTAATCCCTATGTTGTTGTCACAGGATGATTTTGACCTCTTCTTATATATCGGGACAATAAGCGATTGCGACCAGTCAGATGGGATAACGTCCAACTCCCAGATTTTAGCTAAAATATGAGTCAACCTAATCGCTAAAACTGAACCACCATACTTAAAGACCTCTGGAACCAATCCATCTGGACCAGCTGCCCTTCCTCGTTTCAGATTAACTATAGCCTTTTGAACTTCAGTTAGAGTCGGGGGACCTACTTCAATGTTCCATCCACACTGTCTGAGAATGGTGGATAGCTGTAGAGTAGCTGAAGGCCAGCTGAATTGCTTCTTAAATTGTTCCGTCCATCGTTGGAAACGTTTTAACTGAGGGTAAACAAGAGTGCTGTCTTTTTCCGATGTCTCACTGACACTTGACTTTTTAATTCCGGTTTCTTTTATTGGTCTAAAAAGCTGTCTTTTGTTATCTACAGCCGCTGCCTTTTCCATCTCTTTTGCTTTCGTTGCCCAACACTGCTCACAATCGTCCCGTAGACTTTTGGTCAACCTAGATCTGATTTGTTCCCACTTGTCATCGTGTGGCGGAGCCTAATGGGATAGGTTTATGAGTTTATCAGTGTAATGGATGTAGTAGAAATCCAATGGTTTTTCGTAACATTTTGGTTCAAATCACCAATCATTATTGCTGCTGATTCCACAGCTGTTCGTGTATATTTCCAAGCAATATCTGGGTCAGCCTCGTTTTCGAAATTGCCTAAGTGTGAATTCAGTTGTTCACGGAATGTACCTTTGCCTTCCTCATCACTGAGTTCAACTCGAATGGGTCTTCTTAATGTGGCTTTTCTACGTCCAGTGAGGTGCAAGCAAATACGTGCTCCTATTAGAGTACGATCAAAGTCTAAAAATGTATTCCAGAACGAACGGCAGTCTTCTACCGAGCCTCTCCAACGATGACTGATGACAATACCGTTCATCGTTGGTTTGGTGAAGAGGGTCGCCCTGTTGGACAATACTTCTTAAAAATAAACGATTGTCTGAGCGCAGTTGCAGCAGACGATCACCATTATCTGTTCGCTAAGCCGGAATGCCGAAATACCCACCTAATTGTCTTTCTGTTTGGTTTAAGCTACATACTTGGGCATTAAAGTCAGCTGCTATGAGTACTATGTCTGAGTATTTAGCTTTTTGAAGAAGTTCAGAAAACTTCCTGTAAAACTCACCTTTCACTTCATCCGGGCTGCAGTCAGTGGGAGCGTAGGCAGAAACGACGAAAAGGCAACGATGTGTATCCCTATCTTTCCGAGTTCTTACGGAGCCGTTTAGGCGAACAGCACACAGGCGACTGTTAACAGGGATATATTCTAAGAGTGCATACCATTGCAAAAAATACTAGTCTATATCTTTACATCATATAATTAACAATGTATTTGTTGACTGGTCGAAAAGCACGTCACACATAACCCTTTTGTGAGCAACTTCCGTACTTGTTGAGACCTTACCACCGGAGACGGAAATCTGTGGGATATGGTGAGATGTGCATTTTTAGAGTCGACCTTTTCTAACCCCGCCATTCCTTGTGGGAAGGCGGCATAGCTGTCATGCTGGTTGTCTGAAATAAACATCTAACTGCTGTCACACCTCCGTGGTCAGTAGTACGACTTCGCTCTCGGACCTTGGGTTTGCTGCTTTTCGTCTCACCGCTCTTCAACCGATCTGCCTGGAATGGTAGGACCTTGGAAAACGATTGTTCCAGCCAGGATAGCCCGACCGGTTCATTACGATAGGCAAGCCCAATCACCACGTTAAGGTATCAGCAACGATGGTGTAAATATAACTGAGCTCCGAATTGGAATCAAACAGTTGAAATCTGGGTGTATAAGTCGTTGAGTGATGGACATCGCGCAACAATAAATGCCAAACAACTAACAATTTTTTAATATATTAGAAAATTTCACAAATAGTGAATAAGGATTACGGCTCATAGTCATAATCTTAAGCATACCAGTTAAGAAACTGAAATAAAGATGCTCAGCATTGCTGAAATAATTGCAGCTCTTGTGGAAGTTTACTGTCACCAAATAATCTATAAAAATACATAAAATTAGACTGGAATAGAATTCCACAAAGTATTTGGTTTATGAATCATATTTCTTTTACTAACAATTGATCTTTTAGTCAAGAAAAAGACTAAATTGATAAGGATATGGTAGATCGGGTTTGTCTGTATATAAGGTAGTGGGTAAGTAAATTAAGTACTATACCTTTTAGAGTTCGAGCCCTTGACATATACTAAAGTTCAGCTACACATGTACTATCCCATTCTCATATAAACAATGTGACTACAGTAAACAGTACATAAACCTACCCTTATTAGTTGCATCACTATTTAATTAAGGACTTTTACTTGGTACAGACTTGTTTAAATAAAGATCAGTTACAAAAGAATACGTTGCTTATCAAGTGGATTGACCGGTTATGAATTAACTCACCGTTACAAACATCAATACACATTTATTATAACCATACAAATGTTTTTCCCAACAAGTTTGAGTTGGATTTATTGAACATGATTGTTGTGGCGTCCCATAGAGTTTAACTAACGTAAAATGATTATATGCTATTTTACAAAAATAACTAAGTGGTGAATACATTATATAAAATATTATTACTGAACATATTATTATTAAACTATCTAATTGTTTTCAGTCACGGGATAGACTGAGCGATAATATTCATTTTCTTTCTTTGGATGCAATTGATGGAAAACTAGACGTTCGTCAAACTACAGCATATGAGCGAGTCGATTGAGCACCAAATTACGATTATATTCATGTTTCATAATTTGAATAGCCTACAAACTCATTAATTATGATGAAAATGTAAAATTACCACAAAATATGCCGGTACGGCCGAAAGTGAGGAAAGTCAGCTCTCCCTCTCGAAATACTCTCACATGACTACGTGCTTACAACCACTGCCAGGGAAGTCCTATTCACTGCCTTCTCGTGGCATGATTGTTTTCGAAATTGAGAGGACAAAAAGCGAATGTCCTGCACTTTAACCGGGTCGGTGGATACGGACAATCCACCTAAGGTAGTTAGAAAACCTTGGTTCTATACCAATGGTGCATATGGGACTGCATCCCCCAAATGCCCTGGTATGGCCAAGAGTGGGGAGAGTCCGCTATCCCTCTCTAAATGCTCCCACATGGCCACGCGTATATAGCCTCTGCCAGGGAAATCCTACTCACTGCCTTCTCGTAACACAGGTGTTGCTTACGAAAATGAGAGGACGAAAATCGAATGTCCGGCGCTTTAACCGGATCCCAAACCAATGGTGCACATAAGCTCCAGTATCCTGAAGGAACAAATGGCGTACGAACCAATCTTTGGTCACCGGCCACCATGGAACTGAATCTCCTTATGGTGCTCAACTGCCCTGTGGATCAGACGTTCAGGTCGAAGGCTCGGGGTGTGGCCCCCTAAGGAAACCACCTGCTTCGGTTTGGGCACCCGAACAGTATCACAGCCCTCACACATACCAAATGAGATGTGTGGCGCATATATATTTGGTGCCTTCTTGTACCAATGTTTATGTATTTAAATTAAATAAATGAACTCAATTAGAAGGAAATAAGCTGCATCGCGATAACATTTTGTGCTATTTTGGTGAGGGAATGTAGCTAGCTAGGATCAAGAATAAGAGTGGGAGATAGGGTAGCAAATATATGGATGAATATGTATACTTGCCCCTTCGACTTAAAATTTCAAGAAACCTTGAGTTACCCTGAGAAATTTATAAACGTTGAAATTCTACACAGATTTTAATCTGATTAGATACCAATTATTTGCACTCTGTCTAGCAATTTTAATAGCTTGCTTTTAAAGTTATGGTCTGTTCAACTGCTTCAGGTTCATTTTTAAAATCGCTTATGTCCGTTCCTATCTCTAAGTTCTACTGAGACACCTAAGAATGAAGATCTTTAGCTACCTACACTTTGATATCATCTCATTTCGAAGTCTGGCACGCTTTCGTAAGTAAAGCATAGGGTCTAGGAGAATTCTTGGACCATAGTTTTGTTTGAAATTCTCTGTAGATAATCAAGTCCATAAAAAACGATAAGTTGCTACGCAAGATGGAAAATCAGCCAGTGGGGTAGTGAATCTTCACCAAGTGAAGTGGCTGGGACGTATGTTACGTATATTTAAGCACTGTCTACCTTGGTTAATAGTGCTACCTATTTCAGTAGATTAGAAGAAAGCTAGGAGAGGCCACATCAATACGACATCAGTGAATGAAGTCATCGACTAGAGATCTGAGCCATGATAACAAGTGTAGACTACCTGTCTGGAGACTGAGTGATATGGATCTTAGTGGCCCAAGTGCATTCACTCCCTATTTTCCTCTCTATCTTAAATCCCAGGATATCTTCATGTATAGTCTCCCACAGTCTTTTCAAACCATATACTTAACACCTAACTTTCTTATCATTACTGCCATATTAATTGGATGTTTTCTCACTTCGTGTTAATGTGGCTAGGTAGCTTGTGCAAACGCACACCTGTGGCAGGCTCTATGCTAATTATATCTGTTCCGTAGATGAACAAAATGAAAATTACATGTGTGACTAGGTTATGGGCTACATGTGACGTTCGTGTAATAAATGTTCCCCACAAGTATGAACTTGAAAATTTCCCTTAATTTAAGATTATATTAATAATAGGCTGCATTGATAATTACGTTTTAAAAACTACTTTTCCATGACAAAATACAGTGACGTGACTTTTTCCAATTAATTTGCTTGTTTCTATCTAATTGTTTATATACGAATACGCTCATTAAAGAACGTTTGGTCAAACAAACATAATATATCAACATTTCTAGCAAACCGACTCCCTATGGTAAAATTTTAACTTTTAAGAAAGTAGTACATCTAGTTTCTGATGATAATTGTAACCACTATTACTAAGGAACATTAAAGCTGAGAAAATAACATAAGTCAAAGTCATGATCGGTTTAAAATAACCTCACTTTAGTCTCTAGACTCATACGCGCGCTTTACGAACGGAGAGCTTAGTCTTAAAGTGATTTGCATTTCTCAAACTTTTGCTGTGTCATTACGCAACTAAAGTACCACTTTCTGTCCAGAAAATCTGTCTTGAGCTGTACGTTTGGTAGATTTCTTTTTTTAGTTTTACTCAAGTTAATAATTAACTGTGCTTTCGCTTTAGCATACTATTCGGTTTTTCTGTTTTTCACGTCAAGGCTAATTTTAGTTTATCCCAATCTTTTGAACCACCCGTTTTTATCCATTTTATCTGCTTTTAGTCTGTTGTTTTTTTGTTTTACGGTTGTAGACTTTTGCTAGCATTTGTAAAAAATTTACATCATAACCATGAGGAATACATGCAAGCGGCCCGGATGCCATTTTTGTTGTTACCTCTGACAAGCAGTGAGACAATTGAAAAGGTTTGTCCCACAAAGCGTCCACAGAACTTACAGCAATTGCTTACAACAGACTCAGGAATTCGGACCGTAGGTGGGTATGTGGCACGTGCAAAATTATTGCTGAGGTTTTGCTGAGCAACACCATTCTCTTGACAGGTCTGCGGAAAAATTGTTAGCAAACCTGAAATAAGGCAGTCCTAAAACAGGTAAACAAATAAAGATGCGTAGTGTAGACAAGAAGAGGAACCTTGACAGCGCTACGGAGCATGTAACAACACTAGTGAGAACATGCTGATGCTCAGCATAACATCTACGGTACTAGACTCTCTCAGCAAGCTTAGGTCTCCCAGATCTTACTTACTTACTTACGCCTGTAACTCCTCGAGAAGGAGCATAGGCCGCTCACCAGCATTCTCCATCCAACCCTGTCCTGGGCAATCCTTTCAAGCTCTTTCCAGTTCTTATTCATCCTTTTCATATCTGATTTTATTTCCCGACGTAGTGTGTTCTTTGGCCTTCCTCTTTTCCTCTTCTCTTCAGGATTCCAAGTTAGCGCTTGTCTCGTGATGTAGTTTGATGATTTCCTCAATGTATGTCCTATCCATTTCCATCGTCTTTCCCTAATTTCTTCTTCCGCTGGAAGCTGGTTGGTTCTCTCCCACAAAAGGCTGTTGCTGATGGTATCCGGCCAATGGATGTTGAGTATGTTGCGTAGACAGCTATTAATAAATACTTGTACCTTCTTGATGGTGGTTGTTGTAGTTCTCCAAGTTTCAGCTCCGTATAGTAGAACTGCCTTGACGTTGGTATTGAAGATTCTGAATTTGATATTAGTTTAAAGTTGTTTTGAGTTCCATATGTTCGTAAATTGAAGGAGTGCCGCTCTAGCTTTGCCAATCCTCGCCTTGACGTCTGCATCTGAACCTCCTTGTTTATCGACGATGCTTCCCAGGTATGTGAAGGATTCCACGTCTTCCAGAGTTTCGCCATCAAGAGTGATTGGATTGCTGTTCTCCGTGTTGTGTTTGAGGACCTTGGTTTTTCCTTTGTGTATGTTGAGGCCTACTGATGCAGAGACTACTGCTATGCTGGCTGTCTTTATCTGCATTTGTTCGTGTGTATGTGATAGGAGGGCTAGGTCATCTGCGAAGTCCAAGTCGTCTAATTGGTTCTGAGCTGTCCATCGTATGCCGTAGTTTCTCTCAGATGTCGAGGTCTTCATAATCCAGTCGACCACCAGAAGAAACAGGAAGGGAGAGAGTAGACAGCCTTGTCTTACTCCGGTCCCTACTTGGAATGCGTCTGTCAGCTGTCCTCCATGCACTACTTTGCACTGTAGTCCGTCGTATGAGTTCCGGATAATGTTGACAATCTTCTCAGGAACTCCGTAGTGTCGAAGAAGTTTCCATAACGTCCTCCTATCTACATTGTCAAATGCCTTCTCATAATCAATGAAGTTGATGTAGAGTGACGAGTTCCACTCAATTGATTGTTCGACGATGATCCGTAGTGTCGCAATCTGGTCTGTGCACGACCGGTCCTTACGGAATCCAGCTTGTTGATCTCGAAGTTGAGCGTCTACTGCGTCTTTTGTCCTGTTCAGTAACACTCTGTTGAAGACTTTACCTGGTATTGACAGTAGTGTAATGCCTCTGTAGTTTTCACACTTGCTCAGATCTCCTTTCTTTGGAATCTTGATGAGGTGTCTTTCTTTCCAGTCCATCGGCACTTGTTCCTCCTCCCAAATCTTCTTGAATAGAAGATGAAGCATGCTTGTAGTTACTTCGATGTCTGATTTCAATACTTCAGCTGGTATATTGTCTGATCCCGCTGCTTTTCCGCTCTTAATTTGTCTGATGGCCATTCTGATTTCTTCCGTAGTTAATGGATTGACATCTACAGGAAGATCTGTGTGTGCTGCTTCGAAGTCCTGTTTATTCATTGCAACCGGCCTATTCAAGAGTTCCCCGAGGTACTCTACACATCTGTTCCGCTGTTGTTCAGTTTCAGTGATTAGCCTGCCTTCTTTGTCTTTGACTGGTCTCTCTGATTTACTGTATTTCCCTGCTAGTTTCTTCGTTGTATCGTAAAGCTGTTTGATATTTCCTTCTCTTGCAGCTTTTTCCGCCGTCGTTGCTAGTTCTTCCACGTATTTTTGCTTGTCAGCTCTAATGCTGTTCTTCACTTGCTTGTTTTCTTCTATGTTCCCAGCTTGTGCTTGGACTTTCTGTGCTCGTGTTCGACTGTTGTTAATTGCTGATTTCTTGTTCTTCCGTTCTTTGATCCTGTCCAGTGTTTCTATAGCGATCCATTCCTTATGATGATGCTTCTTGAGGTCCAGAACCTCTTGATACATTGAAGTTAATGCTTCTTTGATACCTTTCAATTTGTGCTCCATAGTAGTTTCTTCTTCCTTCAGTAGATCCTGTAAGGCTTGGAACCTGTTGTTGAGAGCTAACTTGAATCCGTTGAATTTGTTAGTATTTTGGAGGAAGGCTGTATTGAATCTTTGTAGTGCTGTTTGTCCAGTTGTCCAGTTCTTCTTTAGCTTCAGTTTTAAATTGGCCACAACTGTGTGGTGATCTGGAACTATGTCAGCTCCTCTCCTAGTTCTCACATCTTTCATTGTCCTTCGGAACCTTTTATTGATGCAAATATGATCTATCTGGTTCTCTGTGGTGTGGTCCAGTGAGATCCATGTAGCTTTGTGTGTAGGTTTGTGTGGAAATGTTGTGCCGCGTATGACCAATTTGTTGAACGCACACGGATTTGTAAATCTTTCCCCATTTTCGTTTCTCTCTCAGTCCATATCGTCCCATGATATCTTCATATCCGGTGTTGTCTATTCCGACTTTGGTGTTTAGATCTCCCATCGAAATGGTGAGGTCCTTTCTTGGGCACTTCTCTATGATTAATTGCCTTTGTTGTCCAGCTTGAGTCCATTGGGTTTCGCTGATTCCCAGGACTGCCAATTTGTATCTCCTCATTTCCGCTGCTATTTGACTGGTCTTCCCGGTATCCCACATTGTCCGGATGTTCCATGTACCTATTAAAATTGTTGCTCTGGTTGTTAGAAGGGACATCGGCCTCATGGCTTCCGAAGGAACGCGGCTTTCACTATGAGGCGTCATATTTCTTCTAAATGAAGATCTTCTAACTCCCAGGGCAGAGTTTAAATGGTTTGAGTTATTTTTTCTGGTTAGTGTTTTTTAGCGAGTTAGTTTTCTACAGGATGGGGTCGCCAAACTCATGTCTAACCCTTCTCCTTTACCCGGGCTTGGGACCGACAGTACCTCCAGAAGAGCTACAGGCGGAGTTTCTCCCAGATCAGGGACGCTGAATGCAACGGTGGTTTCCAAAAACTCTGTCCATTCACACAAGACTGAGGATAGGGAAGCTCATGCGTTCAAATTGAAATCATAGATTGCTTCTACATGAACGCCGCGGTTTTACCAAATTGGATGGACGAGCTGCGCGAACTAAGTACTGCCAATAATGCCCATCTGATAGGAATATCTTAAACATGGAGCTGGCAATACCAGGGACGTCTTTGTTTTTTAATAACAAAAAATCAAGAATTTGGGTGTAGCAGCCTTAGATTTGCGATCTTGCCTGGAGGTACACCAAGTTCACAACCAAGAATTTTTCAGTCTTAATGAATCCATATGATACTCAATGAGATTGTGTACCACCTCTGACTCTCTAGTTAGAGTCATCTACAGGAAGACCATTGCTGACATCGAGTAAGTCAATCGTATGCTAGAAAAATAATCCCGCTCTACTCGTTTCGGATTCAATCATATCCTGATCCTAAGGGAATTCAATTTTCCTAAAGTCAGTTTCGCAGAACATACGTATATTGGAGGTGAAAACGAAACTGAAGCTCGGTTCTTCGACGTCATTGAGGATCTGGGATTATTCGAAACTGTGAAGTCGGCAACTCGTTGAAGGAACGGTCAGACGCCGTCTCGCTTAGACTGGGTATTTACAAACGAAGAATTCCTAGTTGACAACCTCTCAATCTTGGCTCCCTGTGGCAAAGTGATCACGCTGTCATAGCTTTTAATTTTATCCGCATAACTTAGCCAAGACGTCCTACCAACAACGGGCACTGGAATTTCAAACGGTTGGACGTGTCAGCCTTACAGGACAATCTTCAACAAGTGGAAAGGGAAATTCATCATCAACTTGATGTGGATACTCATTGGGGTTTCTTACTACACACGATCTCATGTGCCACAAGGCAGTTTATCCCTTAAATGGTCCTCAAAATCTACAAGAACTGGACTTCACGTTTGTTAAGCTGCAAAAAGCACTGATGACCGGGATACGAGCGAACTGGTAACAGCAGTGCATACGGTGCAGTACAAACATAAAAGTAACTTATACACAGATGATTGCTGTGGTCATTGAAAAATTTTAAATGACTGGCTAACCTATTACCTAGACATCAGAAACAGCAATGGAGTTCGCGTGCCTCTGACAGCATGACTGTTGGTTATCCAAAACTATCGAAGCAGTTTCTGTTTAACATGTGATGTATTAGCCAGAATAGCAGCGAAAAGTTTCACACACCATCGAAGTACTTATGAAAGTTATTAGAGGTA